AAAAGCCACAAGGGATTTGTGGTAGGATAAGTAGTAGTGCAAATCACTGTTCAAGTAGAGTGTAGAGGGAGTCTATACTTTAAACCCTTGAAAAGTGTTTGAGATGTTTGCATTAATAAAAGAGATCCGAAGGGAGAGTGGGACGCTCTCCTGAAGGTTCAATTTTCAGTGAAACTGCTTCTGCAATTGTTTGAATCTTCATTTAATTCAGTTTGATTAAAATTGTATGCAACTCTGGATACTTGGTTTACAAGTATCAAACTTCAAATATAAATAAATGTGATTACCTTCCACCTAAGGGACAACCAGGGACAGAATCAAAGTTCGTCAGCCTCATTTTTGGGCGAAGACGAGGGATACGTTCCCATGCGTAAACCTACACATATCGACATATGCATTTGTTATTAGATATTAGTCTAAATTAGAATAAGAAAATAAATTTTCAAATAACAAGTAAATAAATGTACCTGAATCAATTGGACACAGCTCTTGATCCATTGTTCCCCGGCCTTGTAGGTTGTGCACAACGCTCTATAAACTTCGGCCAGGAGCGCCGAACCCCAACTGTACCCCTTAATCCCATCGATGTCGTGCAACAGCTGTAACCAGTACATATTGACTCCATTGGCCCTCTGGTCGGGGAGAAGAAGGATCCAATGCACCACAGTATAAGGGCCCTCGCCCTCTATTCGTAGACTTGGATGTGTTCTCCATCTTGCAGCTCTCTGGTGCATTCCACTTCTAACCCCGAGTTCTTCAAAACTGACGTGTAATGCCCCAAGTTTTGGGGTTGTACTCCGCGTTCCCTTCAACCTGAGAGTGGTTTATATATATTAAAACTGAAATAATGGAGTATACATAAACAAAATAAAAAAAATAAATTGTAGCAAAAAAATTTACTTGGACATAGGGCTCGAACCCTAGCAAATCCAAACACATGTCTCGCCATTGTTGGGGTGTGAAATCTACAGTCTCTCCCTAACAAGCAAGTCCATTGACCGGGAGACCAAATAGAACTTGTACGTCTTGGAGCGTGATCGTAGCCTCCCCGAAATCAAAGTGGAAGGTATGCGTCTCCGGTCACTACCTTTCCACCAGACAGGTAATGAGGCTGTTGTCGGTTTGTACTCTGCTCATTCGAAACAGCGGCACAAAATCAGTCCTGTCGATCACCTCCCGAACTTTGGCATGTTGTTTTTGCAAGGCCTTCCTAAAATCAGTGTCGTAACCGCTGTTTTTAACAGTGCCGTTACGATATCCCTCTAAATCTTCAAATACCGCATTCGACCGGTGGCGGCACTGAAGATATAGAAGGGAGGGATCCCTCGGACCGGGGTGCACATTGTAGCGCTGAGGTTGTGACGAGGACGATGATGTCATTTTCTACAAAAATAAAAAACAAAAAAAAAATCATTAATTATAGCAGAATACTACGTACTAAAAAAAATCATTAACTAAATGAAAACAATACATATATAAATAAACAACAAGCTTCATATTCTCATCCAACGATATATCAGTCAAAAAATAGCAATGCACAAAAAAATAATTTCATGTACAATGAAATGGACAGAGTTTTTAATTTGTAAAGTATTTCACTAAAACAACTGAAATTTTTCAACAATTAAAAACCCAAATTTGCCATTTGCAATTGACATATATGTAGGCTTACAGGGATGAGTATATATATCAGTTTATAACTTTGGGTCATCCCCAATGAAACGACAGACGGCTATTACATGAGAGCATGATTTCCTATGTGTCTGCCACTTCCGACAAGTACAACGTTTTCCGTGGTAATCAACCTTATACCTGTATTTCCCTAGTGATTTATATATATAAAAAATAAAAAATTTGAATGGACCAAAAAAAAAAAAAAAGACCATATACTTACTTGTTTTGCCCTCTTCCACTAGCCCGTAGACCGGTTGTCACCCCGTTATGGATCTGTCGTCGTCCATCCATCACACACTATGAGTTGCGGTTGTCTGCTCCAATTGCAAAAAATGCGGCATAGTGCTCCCTAGCAATGGGACTCTTGAATATCCTGGACTTGTTTTGTTCCTGTCCAAACAAATCTATAGTTTTGTGAAATGTGGTGTCTACCAAAGCTCTGCACGGCAGAAACCTAACCCCTTTCAAGACGTTGCTGTAACTCTCTGACATATTGGTTGTCAATGTGCCCCATCTACATCCTTGATCTCGAAACAGGGTCCACTTGTTCAAAAGAATTTGGAAAAGGTAATTATGTTCTTCGGGATTAAATTCATTGAGTCGCTCTTTTGTCTGTTGAAACTTTCGCTTCGACAACTGTGAACCTAATCCCAACACCAATTCTGGATTTTCTTACTCATGAACCTAGTCACCATGTTGCTTCGAAGGTGTCAAAGGCAAATTCGGTGATACGCAACGGGTTCTTGCCAATCTTCTAATGATTCAATGGCACTCCGTAGGCCCGTATCCCTGTCGAAAAGAACGCAGATCTGTCTGTTGAAGACAACATATAGCCGCAGATTCCTAAGGAAAAATGACCAACTATCCGTGCTTTCTTCATCGATAATGCATATGCGATTGGCAATAGCCGCTTATTCGCAGTCTGTGATATGACCACAAGCAATTTTTCCTTGTACGATCCACGCAAATGTGTGCCATCGATGCTAATAACTAGCGGGCACATTTGGAAGGTTTGAATGGAGGGACCAAACTCCCAGAATACAAATTTGAATTCCCTGTCTGGAAGGTGTCGCGTAATTTCCCCACTCTGTCATTCCCACTGTACAACTGTGGTGGGATTCGCTCTTTGAAGCGTGGCAAAAAACCTGCACATTACAAAATTGTTTCATAAATAGATAAACATAGTGACAGACAGACAACACATATATTTGTAATTAATTTTTGCTTACTGAGGGAGTTCTGCGAAGTTCGATTTCCAACTGCCATGCACACGATCGATGGATTTTTTCCTTCCGTGCCATGCCTTCTTATAGCTGACATTGACTTTCCAATACTGTTTCAGATCTGCCTGGATCATGCTAACATTTTACTCCAGTTTCTTTTCAATCTTATTAATTATAAGATTTGAAATCATTTGGGCAGTTTCATTTCTGTGGTCATTTTTCTCGACCCGTTGCATACAAGTGTGTCTATCAGTTCATTCAGTTAATTTCCACAATTCATGAACCCCTTTGGACTTAGTCACCCGAGCCTTCCACACACAAGGTTGATCTTCATTAGATCTGCACACCACTTTGTATGACTTTTTATTAGAATCATTTGTCTGAATCTCCCTTAACCTATCAAAGTTCCAAGCCAATATACCCGCATGTGCTTCTTCTTTGCTCCTAAAAACTGTACCTAAATCTATGGTCAATGTCGTCATTCCAAAGTAGAAGAGCATACTCGTTCTCATCTATCTTGGACAGCTGCCATTCACCCATCTCGCGATATATGTGGCGACCACCACTAGGAAAGGGGTGTTCTTCTTCAATCGACTCGGGTTCACTCTCCTCATTTACCAATCTATCTGATTCGCTTTCTGAGGTCTCGTCTGTGAAATCATCTTCACCGAGAATGAAATCTTCATCACTTTCTTCCCCGTTCTCATTTCTCCATTCTCTCATTGTTGAGCTCGTCCTTTCTCCAAAATTACGTAGATGAGAAGTCGACATACCCTCAACATCAACCACTCCACCGTAACAAGGTGTAACATCCTCAACATGTATAACCGATGTAATTGCCTCCAACGATAAATGTAAATATACAATGGACATATAAGGAAAGTAATATATCCACTGAAGAACACTATCATTATTGAGTATTGCAGTATTCCACGAACCATCGGGTTGGTTAACCATTAAAGTAATCTCCTGAATTGTCCAACCTTCTTTAAACTGACAATTTTCATTAATCATCTCTACCAATTGTTCATATGATATCCTCCCCGGAATACTCATAATTCAACAATAACATAGAATTCATCTATATTTCGGATAAATTGAAAGCCCTAATTCTAACTCTAATTTTGAAAAACCCTAATCCCAACAACAACCAACCAATAGACAATTGACAATTTACAACAAAATTCCAATCTTCAATTCAACATACACACATAATCGATAAGCAATTAGCAATATCCAATCTTCAAACACCATCGCATTCAATCATACTATAATAATTCCCAATCTCCAAACAACTCCAAAAGATGTCAAAAGTTGAGATAAGATAATATACCTCGTGCGAATGAATTAACTGGAAATGAGGCTCGTGTCGCTGTTGTCGGTTCGCGCCGGGGTGGGGATGGGATCGTGTTTTTTTTTTTCGAACGCTATCTCCTTCGCTCTTTTGCTCTCTGCTTGCTTTCTGTTTCTGTAAATGCCTAATGTAATGGAGAAGAAGAGATTCTTTTTTTTATATTTAATTGTAAAACGTATTCTCAGAATACGTTTTACTCCCATTTAATTGTAAAACGTATTCTCGTAATATGTTTTTATTAATTTTTTTTATCAAAACGCATGTTTTAATGAAATCGCATTCTTTAATGAATACGTTTTCCCCATTTTTTTTAAAATTAAAACGTATTTCAGAAATACGATTTAAAGAAACCGCATTCAAAAAATACGTTTAATAGATTTTTTTTTTTAAAATTAAATTATAGAAATAAAAAACGTATTTCGAAAATACGTCTTTCAAAATCCTACAAATCAATTTTAGGGTTTTGTAAAACGTATTCACATAATACGTTTTATATTATTATTTTTTATTCAATTCGACTTTTTTAACGAAAATATATTTTTTTTTTTAGATTTTACAAAAAATAATTTTAAAACGTATTACGGAAATATTTTTACTAAGAAAATTGTATTAGAAAAACGTATTCCGATAATACGACCTTTTTATTTTTGTCCACACTTTTTTATTTTTATTTTTTTAATTTTTGTCCACTTAATTTTTTTTTTTAAATAAATAAAGCACCCTGAAACCTGAGCTCTACAGTCGACGTACTCCTTAATCAGAACCCCGACGGTGTTGCAGAAAGAGTTCTTCTAACCACTATCTCTAGTTAACATTATCAGCTTTTTTATGGTAAAATTTCAACTATATTTCAATTTTTTGCCTGAATATTTTGCGCTTGTCTTGTTTGCTTTTGCTTGATAGTAATTGGGAAGGAGTTATGGGGCGCGGAAAATAGTTTATCTTTCGTTGCCTACTTTGAATATTTTGCTTGTTTAATGGCGTTTTAAGTCCTCAGCTGTCCTGTACTCGGGTTTTATTGATTTGGTGCTGAATTGGTGTTTTCACTTGTTGGAGATTCAAAGATTATCTGTCTCGAAATTAAGTTTGCTCAATAGCGTTTATTATGTGTCCAAGCAACTGTTAATCTGGACAGTTTTCTGTGCATATATGTTGGTGATGGTGGTGGTGGATGAGATGTTGAATATCACTGGCTTTACTCTATTTTGTGTCATGAAAGCTGTTATTAGCTAGGGTTCAAAATTGGTTAATTGGGTTAATTTTTAACTGAAAACCACACGAAAAATGCATAGCTCGATGGTGACATGTCATACCCTTTGTTAAAACAGTTGTTTTACATTATCTTTGAAAAGTATGATTCGACCATGGAAGTGTGTATTTTACTATTTTTGTTTGAAAATACGTCTGCTTAAAATTAGGTGGACTGATGGTAAACATAATGATTTTATGTTAAGACAAGAGCCTAATGGAATCCTGGACAATTATTTACGTCGGCTTCAGAAGTTGTCTTCTTGGTCGACTAACGCCTCCCAGTATGAGCTGTTAATTGCGAACCTAATAAGCAACATGCCAGTTCTGTTGCTAGTCATATTTGACCACTCATGAAAGATGTTGTGTAGGGGTCTTTTATTGAGGGCTTCGAATCTGTGGTGATAATCAGAAGATGCATGTAGGTTTGGTAGAACGAAAACTAGTATAGCTTCCACTTCATTAAGAAATGTGGCTGCAGACGTTGAGGTGTTGAGGAACTCCAAATTAAATGGCATCCCATAATAATTAATAACTATGAAGCTAGTGTCAAACAGAAAAAGGGAAAAATAAAAAAAAAAAGAAAGAAAACAAAAGTAAAGGTCAGATGCTTTGACCTGTTTGAAGTAGGTAAATCCTGAGGGGTGAGAGAACTAGTAGGGATTTTCCTTTTCCAAGTATTCATAGGCGCCGTTGCTTCCCTTGACCTAAGAAAATCACTGCTTGAGCGAGTCTTCAGTATGTTTGTATGTTTTATCTTGATAAGGGATCAGTTGAGGAGAAGGGAACTTTATTTTTTGGCAGCCAAAGCTTTTCGCGTTCACATTTATTTTTGCAAGTGTTTAATTGAGCATGCGATCGGCATGCTGATCTTCACATTTCTTTTCCGTATATCAAGTGTCATACGTGTTGCATGTTCATTGCCTTGCAGGTTAAATTAATGCCTGCCCATCTGCTAGTGTAGTCTGGATGGCTCACTCTATTCTGAAATCACTTTTAAGAATCCCTAGCTATAGCTCTGGCATATTCACGAGGCCTGTCACTCGATGCTCATTGTGTTATAATTATATCAACTACCGAGGACTCGTAAGCTTCCGCGCTGCTAAGGAAGTGTATAGAACAGTGTTAACAGTTAAAAATAATGTTTCCTTCTCAACAAGTTACAGTTCCGAGTCCTCAAGTAGTAACTCATGCACTTCTGAAGCTGTTGGTGGTAGGGAATACCTATTAATGACAGATGAGAAGCTAATGAGCCAGTGTGAAATGGATACTTATAAGTCATCAGGCCCAGGAGGACAGCACCGGAACAAGCGGGAATCCTCTGTGCGAATAAAGCATCTGCCAACTGGCATTATTGCTCAGGTTCATGCAGATAGCCAGTGATCTTTTTTCCCCATTCATATTTTATTCTCGTCGTGTTTATAAAATTTTTTTATTTCTACAGGCAGCAGAGGATAGATCACAACACAAAAATCGGGCGGCGGCTCTTTCGAGACTACGGTCACTTTTAGCCGTTAAAGGTATATAGATATGTATTTAAATATGATATTTTAACCATTTTCTGGTTACCTGCACTCATTGATGCATTTGGAATTTTCTTGAGACAAGGTAATTTCGACCTTGGAGTGGCTTTTATTAAGGACCGGAACTAAAATAAGTTTTCCTTTTCTTTTAACCTAGTCAGGAACAAGGTTGATCTTGATACGTATGTGCCTCCTGTAGAACTTGTTCAAATCCTTCCAGCAAAGTCAACCATCAGAGGATCAAACAAAGGGAATCAGATTGGCCCAAATAATCCGAAATTTGCTCTGGTCTGCATTCTCATCCTTGTCCCATCTTTTATGGTGAATTTACGGTGATTCTAAGCTGACACAATACTTTTGGTTCTACCCTCTGGAGTCTTCAGGGAATGCAGGCTTTACTTGACCTGATTTTTGCAGTTGAGGGTTCTGTTTCGGATACTGCAAAGAAGTTAGGGTACACAACAGTGCTTTGATTTTACTTTTTCCTTTCACTGGTCTCAAATGGTCAAACAATAAAGTCTTTTTTGTGATTAAACTTGAGTCTTTCTGGCTAATATTTACAGGTTAAGCACTGGAGCTTTATCACGGTTGATATTATCCGATGATTCCCTTAGAATGGCTGTCAATGAGTTCAGGGCTACTAAGGTTTGTTTATCCATAAAGCATCTCCTATTTTACAAGGGTTGCCGAAGTTTTTTTTTTTAGGAACAACTTTCTTGCGACCTACTTTTAGGACACATTCAGATGTTAAACGGTAATTCAAGCTAAATGATTGAAGGGTTCAATTCTCTGAGTTCTGTAGGTTTTATAGATGCTAATTCAAGCTGCATGACTCTGAAGGATTACATTTTCTGAGTTTTGTAGGTTATCGAGTGACATGCTCTTATACCTTTTCTTGCACTTACAGATGTCATAGAAAAGCTTGACAGGATTTGAAATTTTAACATTGTTGTGCAACTTTTCAATGGACTCAGGGTCTGAAGCCACTCAAGTAAGACAGTACTAAAAGCCCGACGGTGTTTCAGGTATTACTTGAACATTTCCTCAATCTATATATAGTATCACTATATCCGTGTATTTTAGTTGAATTTATTTTTTTAGGATATTTCTTTCGATAAGCCACAAAGAGATTTATAAGAAATTAAGAAAATTGTGGGATGTAATGATAATTCTTAGAGGATGTGTATGTAAATCAAACATAAAGGAAGAGTATTTCATTACATTAAGAGCACTGCTGACAGAAAAGGTTTGTTGAGTGTCTTGAAGGGTCAGTTTAGTATTAAAAACCTTGGGATCTATCTGCATTAGACCCGAACCTAAGGAAAATCCCAATAATGTCCCCCAAAATCTAGGTTTTGCAGAGGATACCTATCCCAGTAGACATCCTTGTTAAATGAGATACGCGCAAACGTATTATACTGCTGTTCATTGGGATGATTTACCTACCATCTATTATTGTGTTTGATGAAAGGCATTTTTTGTTGAACCTTCAGAACATGATTTAACAAGTTTATGTATAATAATTTCCATTGGGTTGTTGCAGGTAAAGACAGGAGAGAAGAAGCTCATGAGACATCAAAATGCTCTGCCACCGGACCGGACACAGTTATTTGACTGTTTTTCACTATTTATTCATTGTTAATATGCTCTTACATTGATTGAAGAGAGAATGTTTTGATCTGTTTCAGCTCTTTTTGCTGAAATTTTGGAGAATGTAGTGATAAAGTTATCTGGATGTTGGAGATTACATTATTGTCTACAGATTTGATTCTCTCTTTAGTGAATATATTTGAGAACGAATGTCTTGAGCAATATTATTGAAGGATTATGATCACTATCAGGTGTGTTAAGCCTAAATATGGCTGCTCATTGAAACTAATGCATCTTGCATTGTATCTTAATTTACAAAATTGCACTTGAGGGGTTTCGCTTTTGGCAAATTCAACTAGTCAAAAGTACTCGAGTTGCAAATTGTTTGAGGGGTACATGCAAACTGTTTGAGGGGTACTCGAGTTGATGAGCAATCTTCTAACAGTTTGTCTATATTACCCAAATTTTTAGTTTGTATTTGTTCAAAATACTTAAGAGTAGCTTTTTTCTCGGTGAAAATTCAAAACAAGGACTTAATGATTTCTACATCCTACTTGTTATGCATATTTCTAGCCGATCTACAAAATCTACTTCGATTAATGCCATACGCCAACCATTTCTAGACCACGCCAGCACTCTTGTTACCCTTTGGAGTCGCATCGGCACCTACCCCATGGTCGAAAATGCCGATCTATGTATCGATCAAAGGGAGCTTCCTTCGTGCCGATGTGACATCCAATGTGAAGAGTTGCCGCCCATAATGGATAACCGCCCAATACGAAAAGGCTGCCGCCCACAAACAAGATATGTCTCGTCCCCTGCGTCCAGTCACTTATCTCTTTGCATGCAGAGGGATCCTCAACTGACCGACATGTACAATGTCTCACTAAGTAGTCATGATAATTTTTACATATTTACTCGTAGTAATTCAAATGAAAAAACATGAACACAACAATCAAACTCATAAAAAGTCCATAATATTATACTTAGGTACTTATTGCATCCCATACTTTGTTCGATACTTGTGAGTTAATATATCCACGTATTTAATCGTTGTCAGTGAACAAGACATTTTGTTTGTGAAGAAGTATTATTTTGGCCTAATCATGATCCAAAACCCGAGCCCATTTGAACACCTCCAAAACCGGCCCAAGTCACCATAAGAAATGGCCCAAACATTCTTCTTTTCAGCCCCTATCTCGGTCTCTCTCTCCCCTCTCTCCCAGCCGAGCCGTCGAGATGCCCTCAGCCTCCAACCGTCTCCTTCTTTCTCGGCAGCTCTCCCTCACGTCGCCAGCCCTAATTCCTCTCTATTTAAAGAATTGAGACACCAGCCGCCTCTCATCATTTTCGATTCCGTTCCCAAATCCCGTAATCTACTCGGCAAATCAAGCCTACCGACGAGTCGAGCACCATAGCCCGACGGCGAGAGGGCCAGCGCTAGCCGCGATCACGAGCCATTCATTCACGGCGATCCGCGACTGAGAATCCGAGATGAAGCAGCTTCTGGCGAGGCGAGGTGAGCAACCCTGCTCGGCGGACGAGAGAAGACTGAGAGTAGCGATTCATGGCCGAGCAATTCCGAAAAGAAGCCCTATTTTTCTGATGAGATTTCTCGGCGGCGAGGCAGGCCACCAGATTTCCTGCGAGAAGAAGAGCGACGACCCTCTTCCTCTGTTTGCGAGCCTTTCGCCGGCGTACTGTGTGTGCGACCAATTAGCAATCTCCGGCAGGACGAGTGCCACCAGCGGCGAGGTCGTACCCATTTCCGGCGAGGGCCGGCACACAGCCGAGATGTCCTCGAGAGCCCGTTTCCGTCCGTTCAGCAGCAGCCACGCGTCGTCGAGAGGTCGCTCAGTCCGAACAGACTAGCAGCAATCGGCCCTTTCCAGCGAGCAGCGGCCGATTCCTTTCCGACGGGCAGCGGTGCTCCTTGTTCAGACGAGTTGCAGTCGTTAGTGGTAGCCTGAGTCCCGGCAGTGGCAGCCCTTTCGGGCCAGTGCGAGAGTAGCGGCAGCCGTTTGAGGCTTTAATCGAGTAGCGGCAGCCGTTTGAGGCTTTAATCGAGCAGTCAGGGTAACATTGGCATCGGTCCGTAGTAGTCCTGTTTCCGTTCAGCGAGCACCAATAAATGGTCGTTTCAGCCATCGTCTAGCAACCCTCCTGCCGGGAGTTCACACGAGCAGCCCCTTTCAGCCCCGATCGTGTTCGTCGGGCAGCTTGCTAGTTCCGTTCACGTCGGGCGGCGGCAATGTTGAGAGCCTCTAACCTAACCCGAGCTTCCATGCTTTTATCAGCCCTGTTTTAATTCGTGAAAGCAGGTATATGGCTGAACTTTTATGGTTTTATATGGACTGAGTTTATATGTGAGGTGCTTGAGTATTGTGTTTTCGTTTCTTGTTTGTGGTGTTTATTGAAGCTGCTAGTTATGGGAATTTTTGTGCTGAATAGTATGTGTAATATCAGATTTTATATTCAGCTCTATGGCCGTTTGTTTGTGCTTGGGTGTATTTTTGGGATACGAAAAGATGACCAGGTTATGTATTGAATTGTTAAGTTCTTGCTGTGCCTTGCGAGTTGTAGTTGCTGAGCCGTATTCTCATCAATATTTTGCTGCCTACATGTGATTAAGTTTAGATTTATGATCAGTGAATAAGCACGCTTGAGTTATCAGTTGAGAGGCATGATAAGTGTTAGCAATTTTTATTAGAGGTGCTTAACTTATGTTCTTTTGTGGCTTGCTATTTTGTGTTGATTTTAAGGCTGTGGGCATGATGTGTTTATGTGCTGAACTAGGTGAAATTTCACGCCGAAAGTGTGGTTAAGGTTCCGTTTTAAAGGTGTGATTAATTGGTTTAAGTTGAAGAGTAAAGAGGAGCATGTATATGGGATGAATTTTGCCTTGGTTGTTCTGATGCTTAGAGGCTGCTGCTATATTCATACTATGTGCTAATTATGTGGCTTTATCTGCTTAAATTGACTGCATTAGGTGATTTTATATGAATTGTTTGTTCCGTATTATGTGCTCCTGCATGTTTAATTATCCGTGCCCTCTGCCTGACAATCAAAACTCTTAATAATAATCAAACCTCTAATTTGTAGATAAAGAGGAGTCGAGCTCTCGCCGTTGTTTGAACGTGCATTCACTATCATCATCTGCAGTATCAGTTACCATGTATGTTGATTTCTATAAATGCTTGGCTTGATGATCTAGGTATGCATGTGTAATGCCCCATTTATTTGTGATTTATTTGTGGATTAATTATTATTATTATTATTATATTTTTTTTATGATAATATTTATATTTATATTTTTCTTGAATGCCTTAGTATTAATAAATCCCTAAATGTGATTAAATGCTAATTGTCTAATTGTCTAATTGATTTTCGTGATTAATTATTAAATGAGAAAAATGTGTATTAATATATGTGAAATGTATTTATAGTTCGATTTATTTTTATCGTGCGATCGATTGGAACTGTCGAAATTAGTGATTGGAGAACTCGAGCCTGAGAGTTAGATTTATTTTCGTGTGAATGAATCGGGCCCGAGAGCCGAATATATTAACGTGCGATTTTAATCGAGCCCGAAAAATTTTTGTTGGAACCGAAATTGGGCCCGAGAATCCCCGCGTGAACCGAACTGGCCCGTGAGCCGTTAAACCGCCCAAGACCCGGATTTTTGCCCACCCTTGTGCGTGTGTGTGCGTTTTTTTTTACACTTGAGGAGCAAGACAAATCTTTTTTTTTTACCCTAGCGTTTTTTTTTATTTTATTCTGCTATCTCTCGCTCAAAAATCGATCACCGCCCGCAGTCATCTTCTCTCACCTTTCGCTCGCTCATCTGTAAATCGCGCAGCCCCAATCTATCTTTTCTCTCAAATCGATCGCCCCTCTTAATCTCTCTCGCTCAAGATCACTCGCAGAACAGAAGAGGAGAGAAATTCTCTCGCCATCGTTGGTCCCTGCTCCGCGATTTACCGGCGCTGCAACTCCCCTGCGCAACCCTTCCTCCTTCGCGATCTCCGGCGACGTGAGCAGCTCTGTCCGTTTCGATCGCCGACGTCCTCCTCATCTCGCTCGTTTTCCGGACACCACTACGAGCAGCACCACCAGTCGCTGCTCCCTTGCCGTCACGCCA